AATAAATAAATAAAATAAAATAGGAGAAAATTAAAATTCTAGGTTAAAATGATGGCGCCCCTATTACTTCCAATTTTCATGGAAAAATATGGCTACACGATGAGGGTTGAGGATAGAGGTTGGTGAGTCCTTACTATCCTATTTTTCCTACTCCTATTTTCAGACTTTTTTTTTTGTATTTTTATATATTAAAATAAATCGAAGAACGGTTGAATTCCACTATATATAGTGATAATATATGTGTGTGTATATATATATATACACACACTTTTGTTATAAAAATGATGAATTGGTATAATGGATGCTTCTAACTTGTTCAACATAATTTGCAAATATATATTGGTAGATCTCACACACAAATATATATCCAACGAGAACCTATTCTAAAAGGAATCATGTATAATTATTAGGGTGTAAAATGAGCACGACTTGTGGAGTGGTTCGCGAGCCAACCATATTTTTTTAAACCAGATTTAAAATATTTTAGACCAGGAAAAATTGGCTGAACAAACCAGTTCATCACGAGTCGGGCTCTTGATAAGCCACCTCGACGATTCCATCGATGGCTCGCTAGCCAGAAAAAAAAAATATTTTTTTAAATTTTATTATTTTTATATATTTTATATATTTTATATAAAAATTGTATTTTTATTAGATATTTTGTTTAAAATTTCAAAATTTTTATTATATTTATAATATTTTTAATGTTTATAATATTTTTTAATATTTAAATTTTATTTTTTAAAATTAAATATTTGGCTCATGAGGTAAGGCGATCTGGATTGGATTGATCAATTTTTGGCTCGGTAAAAAATGGGTCGGGTTGATCTAGACTAAAAGTCTTTCAGATCGGAACGAATCGGTCTGGGTTGGGCCGGAATACCCCATTTTAAACCCCTGCTAATCATATACACTATTCCAGTGAGAATATATTTCTTAACCTACGTTTGATAAAAACAAATAAAGAAAATAATTATTATTTTGTTAAAAAAATAAAAATATCATTTTGTTGTACAACTTTTCCAGGTATGTATTACATAAAAAAGATGACCAAATATGAATATGTTCATTGATTGTCTTTCGCTGATATGATGTCTGAACAACGAGAGATTTATCTTCAAACTAAATCATTTTTGTGTGTTTATATAATGGAATATTAGCTATTTTAGTGTTATTCAAATAGCTTTTAATTTGTATTTATGTGTGGAATATGAAGTAATCAATATATCTATAATTAATTAATTGACGTCTCCAACTGCATTTTTCCACATTATATATATATATATAACATAATTAAGAGGCCGATAACATCACAAAACAGGTGAAAAGAAGATAAGAAATTCGGTTGCTTTTTTTTTTTAATTGAATGGTTTTATTAATTGTGGAATATAACGTATCTTACAAATGCGGCACTCTCCCCTCGATTTTCTACTTATGCTTCAGACATATGTTTCTATGGAACTATTATACATCTTTCATCTCTTCTGTAATTTGTTGTTTTGTGTGTGTGTGTGTGTATATATATATATATATATATTATGGGTTGTCGTCTTAGCAAGAGTTGTTTAAGAATAAAGTCATTTCCTTTTCCCCATTATTATGATATTTACATATTCCAGTAAAATATATGTCTCTGATTTGATATGTTCAATGGAATAAATTAACTCTAATATTATATCAATTAAGCAATCAACATCTTTGCACATGGGATTTTGAAACTACAATCTATTGATAATTAAGATTATACAACCAGATTACAATATATATATATATATATATATATA